TTACATTACTTTTCAGCATACTCGTTTAAAAAGAGTTTGTGGGTCCTGTCCCACCTTCAGCACTCTGACACTTAAGTTTTAGGCATAGCAACTTAAATCACAAGTGTGTTGGCACACTTAAGCCAACGCTTGTCCTTTAAAAACAACAATGTAACTTTTGTTTCTCAACTGGAATCCCCTTGATTAAAAAGCTAAGATTCTGGATTCCAGTCTGCAGTTTTTCTTCTCAGCAGACTTAATCCACAACACGAAGAATAACATATTTTTCCTTATTTTCAGCAACAAGCAATGAGTAAGCATTTGGGAATATTTTATTGTGGGTTCAGATAAAAAGACACCTTTTCAATGGAATCATAGTAATTCTAACGGCACTTGTGGCATCTGATCACTCCAAAATGCCAGGTCGCTGTCTGAACTGAAGGCGAGCCTCCAGAACTGAAGAATCTGCCTTTTAAAAAGACGTAAGGAATAACTTTATTTTCTGAACCTGAGGGCTTCCAGGAATGCGGAGAGCAGATCTGGCTGAATCACGCCAGGTGCCTGTTCAGGGCCGAGCCTTGCCGGGGGCTCAGGGGACACGCGCACCGAGCAGACTTACTTGCCGATCACCACGCTGGCGTTGTCCAGCACGGCCAGGTTTTGCATGCCCGCCTGCAGCAGGTACTTCTCGCCTTTGGTGCAGATGAGCACCAGCTGTTGGGCGTTGTGCAGCAAGAGCCTGTGCTCGCCAGCCATGTCGGGGCAGCGACAGCGGCAGCCCCCCAGGCCCTGGATCTGCACAGCAGCCGCAGCCAGAGGCCAGGAGCAGCCCAGCGAACTGGAGGGGAGTGAACCCCGCGCTCAGCTCAAAGTCTCCTGGGCAGCGGCCGAGCGCGGGGCAGCGCTGGCAACGGAGTTTCTTGGCTGGATTCTTGCCACCCGGAGCGCTGCCACCCTGCGGGCGGAGGGGCCGGTGCTGGAAGCTCCTTGACTGCGCGGGGCCAGAGAAGGATCCAGCCCCTGGGTCTGCAAAGCCCCTGGGCTGTGGTTGCTTTTGCAAGCGCTGCCGCTGGCTAGAGGGCGCGCGGGCTCCTCCTGGCCCCCCGGGGCGTGGGACCAGCGCGGAGGGGGAGGGAAGCTGAGGCACGGGGGAGGGGGGGGGGGTTCTCGTTCTGCGCCCAGCCTGGAGCGGGCCCGCGCGGCGCTGGCTCAACAGTCTCCAGCCAGGGCCCCGTCCCCGTCCGTGCCCCTGTGCTCGGCTGCGCCCCTCCTGGTCCCCTCGCCCGGTGAGGGAGCAGCGCCTGGGGGGTGGGGGGCGTGTGTGTGTCTAGGCTCGGGGGGGAGCTGAGCTTTGCGGCGGGAGCTTCCCCCTTCCCCTTGGAGGGGCAGGGGGGCCAACCCGGCTGATGCAGAAGCATGGGGAAATCTTGCTGCTTCTCCGCTGCCCGGTCTGCCCTGCCTAACAGCAGAGCGGGTGCCCTGTGCCCTGCTCCCAGCCCGCCCTCCCCCTCTGCTCTCGCCTCCCAGGCTCCCAGCCCATCGTTAGCTACACGTCCCTGTTCTCTCTGAAGCGCGTAACTGCAGAGAGGCGAGACTAAATTCACCCCCATTGTCGTCAGCAAGCCTGGGTTGAGTCCTCAGGAGTGGCTGGGCTCTGCGGGGCCCAGCTGAAGAGGGCGGGTGGGGATGGCTTAGGTGGTTTGACGATTGTTAATGGTACTGCCGAGGATGTACTTGAGTGCTTGTGTGTCTCTGTGCTCTCTCCAGCCTGGGTTTGGGTAGGGGTTCCTCTACTGCAATGTAGAGCTCCACCAGGACTCCTGCAAATGGTACTGGCTTGTAATATCCCCAGTGGGGCCGATCTGCTGGTTGGGGTTTGCTAGAGTGGAAGTGGGGTTCTGGCCACATGTCCTATCCTGGCTCTGTGCCAGCGGGAGATTTTCCCTTGCTAGGCAAATCCCCCCAGTGGCGGGTTAATCCTGCTTTGTGGTGGGAATGGAAATGCAGATATCATCTGCTTATTTTCATGTTACAGTTAGACTGAGGCGCCTGGAATGTTTTGGTTCTTAATTTGGAATGTTCACCCTTAAAGTTCCTGGCCTGCCCAGAGTCACAGGAATCCAGCCCCATGTGTGACTGATGGCCTTGCCAAACTTGGTTAGGGAATTATCATTTATCTGATTTCCACCAAGATTAAAAAGAAATGTTAGATTTTACTGCCCTTATAGAGCTGGAGACCAGTGAGTTTTAGTAGGAATTTTTACTCACAAAATGAACATTTTAGGTTTTCTCTCTTCAAAGAAAAGAGACAAAATCTTCTAACCTGGGTGTCTAAAGTTAGGTTTCTAATTCATATTTAGACCTAAATGAAAGTGGCCTTGTTTCCAGAAGAATTGAGCACTTACAAATTCCACTAAGGTCAGTTGGAGCTCTGTGGGTGCTCAACACCTCTGGAAATCGGGCAATTTTTATTTAAGTGCCAAAATCTAACTTTAAGTACTTAAGTTTGAAATCTTTCCCCAGGTTCTCCTTGTGCTATTGGTAGGTCAATATAAATGTACCTTCTTGCCAGCCAATCTTCTTCCAGGATTCTACAACATTCTCAAACCTTAGAGGTGGACGAGGTTTATTAGATTATCCATCCCATCTCCCTGTTAATGCAGGATTGTTCTATACCACCGGTACACTAGTGCTATGTCCACTCTACTTTTAGAAGACCAAAATAATTGGACTTTCACAGCTTTCCCCGGTATACTGTAGCCATCCTACAGCAAAAAAAACTTCAGGACCAGACTTCAAAGAGAAACTGCTGAGCTTCAGTTCATTTGCAAATTTGACACCATCAGCTCAGGATTAAACAAAGACTGTGAATGGCTAGCCAACTAGAAAAGCAGTTTCTCCTCCCTTGGTGTTCACACCTCAACTGCTAGAAGAGGGCCTCACCCTCTCTGATTGAATTAACCTCATTATCTCCAGACTGATTCTTGCCTGCATATTTATACCTGCCTCTGGAATTTCCATTACGTGCGTCTGACGAAGTGGGTATTCACCCACAAAAGCTTATGCTCCAATACATCTATTAGTCTATAAGGTGCCACAGGACTCTTTATTGTTTGTTTCACAGCCTAACACATCTCACCGGCAGGAAGATTTTCTTGGTATTCGTCCTAAATTTTCCATTTCTTTGTTTCAACCTTTCACTTTTAGGCAGACTCCTATATATCACAGTAAATCATTTCTTCCTTAATGTGTATGCCCATAAAATATTTGTAGATTGCGGTTGCATTCTTCTGTTTAGTCATTGCTTCGTTCTTTTAATTTTTTTCATACAATGGTCTCTATTACCATGAGTATTTTTGTTGCTCTTCTCTAGACTCCCTCCAGTTTGTCAATATTTTTCTTGTATCATGTAGATTAAAGTATAATATCAACACATTTTTGTGTATATAAACAAAAAAGGGCAGGTGTGCTAGGCTTCTTGGATGTGCCTTATTGAGCTAACCTCTTCTTCAGATGAGACAAATTGTGAGGTAGGGACAAATATTTTGAAGGTAGTTTAAATTCTTTAGTAATTGACGGTGTTTGGAAATCTTTAATGATGTGCATCATGCTCCCAGTGGTAAGCCTGGGCAATGATGGAGAGGCAGGGCTTCTTTGTAAACATTTTCCTCCTTGAAGCAGACAGCGGTTTAGCTGCTGGGTTGGTTGAGGATTAAAGGAGTGTGGGCTAGATTCACAAAGGGGTTTGGGCATTATGCTGCTCAGGGTCAGAAGGCCTAACTTTTAGGTGCCTAGAAAATCACAGGAACAACATTGTGGTTCACAAAGCCTGAATTAGGCACCTAGGCTCCCTATACAATAAATGGACAGAGATAGGTGCCTTAGACTGTGATCCAGAAAAGGCAGCATACTTAGTAGGAAGCTGTCTAAGCTAGCCAATGGGAGATGCCAACAACAGGAGTGTGTGCAAAGCCCTGTCCCTCTCTCTCAGACGTAGGCGCCTCCCTGTAGCTAGGACTTGGGCACCTATCTTAGTTAGCAATTCATAAACTGGGAACCCCTCTCCTGGAGTCAGGTGGCTTTTTAAGGCATTTTCTTGTGAGAATGAGTTAGGCAGGTGCCTAACTACACACAAATGGCTAGAGGAGGAGGTGCTGCTGCTCCTGCCTGCTTTATAACTTTTAGCCCAGTGGTTAGAGCACTCACCTGGGTTGTGGGTGACCCAGCTTCAA